ATTAGAAGCCCTCCCACTGCTGCCTCACCTCCAAGCACCAAGAAGACAGAGCATCACTTGCCCCAGATCCCCTCTCTATATCTTGTGGCTAGTAGCCACTGAAGGAGAACTGGATAAACATATGGAGCAGAGGTCCATCAGTGGCTCTTAGCCACGAGGTATAGGTAGGAACTCTCAGTCTGGGGCAAGGGATGCCCTGTATTCTTGATGCTTGGGGAGGGGGCAACAGTGAGAGGGGCTTCTAGTGTCCTGGCCCCACTGGTGGACCTCCTAATGGCCCCTGGTATTTCTGGCCACTGTGTGACACAGAATGTTGGACTGGAGGGGCCACTGGCCTGATCCCACATTGGCTTCTCTTATGTTCTTATGTTAAAGCCTCTCCTGCTGGAGCCACAGAAAGCATTGCCTATGGCCAGATGAAGTGCTTGAGATCAGAAGGTCAGACTGGCCCGCTCCTACCTCCAGGGAAGGGTATGAACGTAGCCATGAACGTAGGGATGCCAACCTCCAGGTAGGGCCTGAGAATGGCCTGGAAAGCCTGATCCAACATTGGCTTCTCTTAGGTTCTTATGTTAAAGCCTCTCCTGCTGGAGCCACAGAAAGCATTGCCTAAGGCCAGATGAAGTGCTTGAGCCCAGAAGGTCAGACTGGCCCGCCCCTACCTCCAGGGAAGGGTATGAACGTAGGAATGCCAGCCTCCAGGTAGGGCCTGAGGATGGCCTGGAAATACAATTCATCTCCAGACTATAGAGATCAGTTCCTCTGGAGAAAAATGGATGCTTCAGGGCCTGTACTCTGTGGCATTGCGCCCCGCTGAGGTTCCCTGTTCCCCCCAGGCTCCATTCCCAAGTCTGCGGGAGTTTCCCAACCTGGGTCTGACAACACGACCCCCTCTGTCCCCCGACAGTGGTCAGGGCTGCAGTGTTCCCTCTAAGCTGAGTTAGTGTGAGCTAGCTCACACTTTTTTAGCCTCCAGCTCACACATTTTCATCTTAACTCAGGAATGATGGCTCCAGAGTAAACTAATTTATGCAGTAGCCAAATCGCTTGCTCACAACTTTAATGCCAGGAGCTCACAAAAGTAGAATTCTTGCTCACAAGACTCCACAGCTTGGGGGGAACATTGGGGGGGGGAGACCTGACGACCCTCCATGAACGAGACCAACACCCCTACCAGGATCCCAGTGAACGTTGTAACACAAGACTCCACAGCTTGGAGGGAACATGGGGGGGAGAGACCTGGAGACCCTCCATGAACAAGACCAACACACCTACCAGGATCCCAATGAACGCTGTAATGGTCATAACAATATTCTGACCAGGAATCTGCTCTGTACCCCCAGGCACCACTGCTGCTCAATGGAGCTAAACGTCGACTGGGACAATGGATTTTTAGGCACAGCATTCGCCCGACTTCAAGTATGTCTCCCCCACTCCCAGTGGTGTGCCAGAATGTCCTCTATTAATACCTTTTATTGCTGTTCCAAGTAATAAGCAAATGCCAGGAATAGTTTTTTAAACTATTTTTACTGAATATTATATAGAAAGTAAAATACAATGCATTTACGGCCAGACTCTCCCCCTAACTGTGGGGTGGGAGATCAGCTCCCTCCCAAAGCAGCCTCAGTGACTGAGCGCCCTCTGGGCCTCCCTTGCAGGGTCTTATATGCCCTGCCCAGACTCTGCCTCCTCACCTGTGATTGGCTTCTATTTTCCCCTCCATTTCCCCTCTGACCAATCACTGGGGGGGCGGGAGGCTGGGGAACTGTAGGGTTGTTGGACAATTTGCACAAAGGCCTTGGTGGGAGGGAGGGAGGCTTCCCTGAGGCCTCCAGGCCGCTTGTTCTGCAGCCAACTGGCAGAATGATCTAAGAAGCCAGCAGCCCAGCCCGCAAAGGGAGCTCCACCACATGTCAGGTCTCCCTAGACTGGAAGGTACCGGCAGAAAGCCTGATTAAACCCTTGGATGGCGCCCTTCATAGAGAAGGTGAGCGTCTGGAGCGAGAAACAAATCTCTCCGGCCGGAAGCCGTGGGTGTCCTCTAAGTAAAATAATGAACACGTAATGCTAATGAATTCAAATGAACATTGCCAGGTGAACTGGGAGGCATCTCGACAGTTCTCATCAACATGCCCAAAGCAAGGTTTCAAGGCTACAAACAGAACTGTTCACACAATCAAAGAACAATAAATCTGCTGTTTCTTCAGCAACTTTATCAAAGTGTCTGACTGAGCGGCAGCCCTGAATGTTTAGTACTGTCGCTGACCAGCCGTTTGAAACCACATGAGAATATATAAACTAACATGCATACAAATGATTAGAATCATGGGGGTGTGCCAGACGACTACCTGCCACGGGATTCAGACTGTGCCCTGCTGTGATTTTCTTTGCACAAGAGATTCAGGGAGCCATCCCACTTAGCAATTCCACGTTATTCACTGGGGCTGCCTGGTGTCCTGGGGCTGCTAGAGGTATAACAGGAGACCTCCAACGGCATGCCCCTGTCCACACTGCCCCTCGGCAGGCCAGCAGGGGTAAAATAATGAAAAAATCACCATCGTTCGACAGCATATCATTTTCAGGCTCAGCCCAGAAGTGACATCATACCACTCTAGCATTCAGCCTTACCATAGTGTTTCTCCTGAATACCAGTGATGTGACGTCACTTCCGGGTTTGGCCTGGAAATGATGTCACATAGCCACTGTGATGGCACTCCCTGTTGGAATTCTATTCCCGTGTTTAGCAGAGTGCTCAAACGCCTATAATGCAGCAGAGCCATCTGGCTAGGGTATGCTGACACAGGAACAAAGTTATACTCTTTATCTTTGCAAAACTAATATGAGTCCTTTATTGTAAGGAACTCCATTCTAGACAGGCTACAATAAAGGCAGGATTCTAACCCAGTCTATCTAGCTAAGGTGGATGAAGACACGCCCCCCCCCCATGTTCCCACCTCCCAGTCTCCTGCTGGTTGCCAGTCATATGGCCTACTCCCAGGAAAAGGTATCTAGGATTGCAAAGTAAATATATGGAGAAGGAGAAGGTTGCACTGAGCAGTATCTGTTGCTAGAGTTTACCGAAAAGCAGGGCAAGGGAGGGAGGGGCTTCCTGCAGCAAAAAGCTGTGCTCCTCTAATGGAGACAACCACCCCACCTGAAACACCCCCCCCCCCAGAAATAGGCCAAATGAAAATCAGCATTCTCCCCTTATTATGCAACATTATTTAAAGGGGAACCAATCTGACAATCTACCCCAGAGTTTCTTCCATTTTGATCGCTTAGCCTTACACCTTTCAGCCACCATCACTTCTTCGGGCAGCAGCGGCTCGTTCCTGGCGATCTTGTTGACGATCACAGCCATTTCTCTCACCCCCAGGAGGGACTGTATACGATCCTGGAACCCAGGCTTTGCTTCCTGTTGCTCCGCCTGGATCAGTAAGTCGATGTGCTCGGGAGTTGCCATCGGGTTGGGCTTTAAGGCAATTTCCTGCAAGCGCCGGATGCTCTGAGAGGACTGTTCGATCAGACGGAACACGGCCTCTTCCACCGCCTCGTATTCCTCACAGAGCTCTTGAAAGAGCTTCTCTGTTGTCATCACCTCCCCACAGGCCCTTTCATATTTCTCCTTGATTTGGGCATAGGTTTGCCTCTCCTTTTCAGTCTTGTACTCCCACCTGTATTTCTGGTTGAAGTGTATGTTCCACTTGCATTTACCAGGACAGACGTTACAATCTCCCTTCCCATTCATAGCGGCACATTTGTGTTTCTCGTTATCGTTCGCAATATAACAGGGGTAGTGGCACGTAAAATGACAGGTCTGGCAATTAGTTATGAACCCCTTAGTTACCTCAAATTTTTCTGCTACAGTCTTCTCAACCTCAACCTCAAAATTCTTGTTGGCATCCATTTCATCTTTATGCTGCTCCAAAATCTGCTTTGTTTTTCTCAGTGAGTCCAGTTTGGTCAGGCCGGCTTTGATTTGTGGCTGGAGACCCTCCACGGCTGCTTCCAGACTCCTTCGTTCCCAGAGCACTTCTTTTGTCAGAGTTAAACTTCGGGGTTCTAAACTATTTAAAGACTGGAAAAATGTCTTCATGCTGGCAGTCCCCATTTTCCAGAACATTGCGTCAAAGTTGAGTGTGTTCTCGCCAGCTGTAGAACCACTAACAAACAAAGCAGAATTATTGAACTTAAAGTGAACAGGGTCGTTATTGTCATCTTTAGCACACGGCACCTCAGATTCCAAGATGGCCTCTAGAACAGGGGGAACCTGCCCATCTGCAAAGGTGACCAGAATCAGTATATTGGATTTTATGTCCTTCCCAAAAATGGAGAGTACCGAGTCAAAAACGTATTTCTGGGCATGTGTCAAACGGGCTAAAGAGGCTTGAACCACGAAGCAGACCCCATCGATGTGGTCGATGCCGCCCAGAGTGCAGAAAAATTCCCGGACCTTTTGGATTATCTCTCTATCATGCTCTATTCCTCTGGTGTCTCCAAATCCCGGGGTGTCAATTATCGTTAGGGAATAAGGGATCTGGAAGCCTTTCTGGAAATTGATCTCGTAGGCCGTCACATCAGATGTCTGACTCTCAGCCTGACTTCGGTTGGTCTGTTCGTGGATCAGCTTGAATCGGAAGCTGTCTTCCCACTTCACCCCCAAGATGTAGTTGATCATCCCATTGATCAGGGTCGTCTTCCCTGCTCCCGTAGCTCCCATCACCATGATCACTTTGTGGGGTTTTTGGGGGTCTTCATGTCCTAACTTGTATTTTAGGAAACTGTCACAACAAGAGGCAGACCTTTTTAACTTAAGCTGATAAGACTTCAGTGGCCCGTCGTCATCTATCAGGGTGCTTTGTTTGATCATTTTATCTTTGACCCTTTCATCGTCTGTCTTTGGAGGTGGTGACATCACAAGCTTCTCAGGTGAGACTGCAACATCCACTCCATAAACAGGTTCCATTCTGCCACTTCTATCATGTGGTTCCATTCCTGTTGCTTCTTGAAATGGGTTTCCATTCCTTCCTTCATCCATACCTTCTGGCTCCACCTCACCTTCCTGCACATTATGGTCAGATCCAGCAACGCTGCGTCCTTGAAAGGGGAGGGGGCTCACTTGGCACTTAATTGCTACTTTCTCTGTTTTCCCAGGGCTACCTTCAGGCAGCGTCTTCACCGTGTCACTCGGGTCACTCCTCTCACTGAGCCCTAGTCTGCCCACAGCAGTGTATCGGAACTGATACTCAATACCGGGGTGAAGCCCCGTTATGGTGAAGGTCTCCTGTTTATCCTTCACATCCACAGCCACCCAGCCCTCCTGCCCTATCGGCCTGTATTCCACTTGATAGCCTGATATTTCGGCCTCCCCATAGGGCGCAACGTTAAACGTAAGCTGCACGGAGTCTGGACGGACCTCGCCAATCGAAGGAGGCAAAGGCTTGGCGGGAGGTTCAAGGTTGGTGCTGACCAGCTCTCCGTCTTCGTACAGATAGATGGAAACGCCTGGATGGTCCTGATCCGGAAGAGCAGAGACAATCAATTTAGTGTCATTTGAGCACACGCTGGCCAATGCTAAGAAGGCCCTGACGGAAGCACGTGCCTTTTTGCTTATCTCTCTGTGCTCAAACCACAACTTCTCACTGGCAGAAGTCACTGATACAGGGTGAGAGCTTTTCTTAACTGCTAGTGAATTTTCCAGGTCGGATAAATACGAGTCGCCATCTTGTAAAGAAGTGAACACAAAGGCAACAACCCGCTTCAGTGTTGGATTGAGCAGGAGTCTGTCTAATTCTTTCTTGGTGTATACAATGTCCACGTCTTTTAGGACATCCAGGTAGGAATTTACAAACACCATCTCCTGCTCTCTTCTGTCTAGAAATGCACTGAGTTGCTGGCTGCTGAAGAGTGCTTGTTGCTTGTTGGTTAACAGGTCTGTGAGGGCATCTTCCTCTTCCTCGCCCCGGCGGATTATGGGTATTGTTCTCGACAGCCGTTTCTGAAGAGTCTGCCTGTATTGTTGGCGCAGACCTCGGAATGTCTGGAGTTTCTTCTTGATTTCAGGGAAGGTCGTAGCTGCAGGATTTTCCGCCAGATCGTTATGTTGCTTGTCTGTTTCCGTCAACTGCTGCAGGATATTCTGGACTTCAGAAATTATTTCTGAACTGATGTCATGGAAACGGCACGTGATTTGGCAGCCCAGCTTATTCAGAGGGTATAACCACATCCTCAAAGGCACAGCCCTCTCAACCAGGCGCCCAGGGAGGGTGGAGAAAATGTTCACAGCTTCTTGATAAGTCACGGGATGGTCCTCTAGAGGAACATCACTGTAAATCTTGCAGTTAATTTTCTCACCCCCCGTCTTCTCCTTGGCAGTTCCTTCACTGGCGCCTGAAAGCATCCTTCTAACCTTAGCTTGGAGGTTCTTCTGTATTTCTTGTCGATCCTCAGAAGGAGAAACCTCTCGGTCAAACACAAAGACTGCCTGAGCCCCGTATAGCACATCAGTCACCACATGAGTGGCTGTCTGCACATTACAGTCCTCAAGATCAGGAAGTTTTGTCACATCAATCTGCTTGCGCTTTGTTGTGACGGAGTACAGGAGAGCCACATGAGCCTGGCGGCGGGAACTCTCGCTGTCTTGCAAGTACTGCGCAGCTCCTCTGGGTTCTAGCAGACCACACAGCAGGCTGGCCTTCGGCCACTCTGGAACCTTCAGAGCAGCCATTTTGTCTTGAAGGGTGTCCGATTCAATAATTGAACTTTCTGTACTGGGGTTTGGCTGAAGGTGAATGTTCTTTCCCAGGGTATTCTCAATCCACAAAGGAGAACCTGACAAAGTAAAAAAGGCTCATTATTAAAGCATGTTGTGTTCAGGTAGAGGCAGAAGAAATTCATTCAGATATGACTTGACTTCCATCGGTAAAGCTACAATATATTGTGCAACCAAGAACCCCTTTTCACTGCCTGGAGTCTTTTCCTCTTATTGCATCTGGCAGATACTCATGTAATCATCTCCTGAATCTAATTTTAAGCGTCCAGGAATTCCCTAAACCACAGCCGGCAGCCCTGACACCTTTCCCCGAAGGGGCAAATAACTGGTCCCTGGTGGACTGTTTCAGGTCCGGCTCAGAAAAAAGGGTGGGGAGGGAGGCTGTACATTCCTGTGATTTAATACAGACCTGCATCTGAAAGAAAACCCTCCCTTTGGGCTGGCTCTTGTCTGGGAATTACCTGGGAGGAGGGCATCTTTGCAGCAGTCATACAGCATCCCCAGCTGGACCTCACGCTGCAAAGCCAGGGTCTCCATTTTGGCCATGGCTGGGTTTTCCTTCTTTATCTGGAAGAGAGGGCAGCTGTTAGATAAGCGCTCTTAACAAAACTGACTTCAAACAAATTCTAATGGGTGAAAAGAGTACACATCTAGAAGAAGAAGATAAGATATTGGATTTATACCCCGCCCTTTACTACCCAAAGGTGTCTCAGAGCGGCTTGCAAACTCCTTCATAAGAACATAGGAGATGCCAATGTTGGATCAGGCCAAAGGCCCATCCAGTCCAACACTCTGTGTCACACAGTGGCCAGAAATACCAGTGCCATCAGGAGGTCCAGCCGTGGGTCCTGGACATTATAAGCCCTCCCACTGTTGACCCCCCCAAGCACCAAGATGAGAGAGCATCACTTGCCCCAGAGTCCCTATCTATACCTTGTGGCTAATAGCCACTGATGGACCTCTGCTCCCTTCCCTTCCCTTCCCCTCCCCTCCCCACAACAGGCACCCTGTGAGGTAGGTGGGGCTTAGAGAGCTCTGAGAGGAGCTGCTCGTTTTCAAGGACAGCTCTTATCAGAGCTATGGCTTGCCCAAGGTCACCCAGCCAGGTGCAAGTGGAGGAGTGGGGAATCAAACCCGGCTCTCCCAGATTAGAGTCTGCGCACTTAACCACGACACCAAACTGGCTCTCATCTAATATGTTGGATACTAAATTGCTTGGCTCCCAAGGTACACACTGACAGTCTAATGGCGCATTATGGGGATCCCACACACTCTGCCGGAAACACGTCATGGTCTTCAGTGCTTCCTCTCTCTGGCTGTGATTCACGGGGTGCTGCTTGTGGAGTGCAGGAAATGCTAAACATGAGGACAGCTCTTGCTTCCTTTACTCAGCCTTGCGGGTTTCCACATATACCCCGTGATGCATCGTGAGGCCCTCTTGCTCTGCATTCTGATTGTACTTAATTGTTATCGACTGCAAGCAGGAGACCTGCCAGGACTTGTGGGGGGGGGGGCCCGGTTCCCTCCCCCACCACGTCATCTTTCCCTCCCCTGAAAACCCCTGCAGCCTCTCCCCTTTTCCTTCGTCAGGGGGCATGACTGTCAGGTCCCCAGCTAGGTCCCTCTCCACACACGCTATTGGCAGTTTAATGGTCAGACTCATGCAACAATCAGTTCCCAACAGCTTTCTTCCAAAGAAGTAAGTTTATTGAGACAGTAGATAGTTTGCTGGTATCATGGCATCTCATTCCAGAGCAGGCACCCCCCTCCCATGGCAGCCAGGACTAGCCAGCGGCCTAGCTGACAGTAATGCTTTATTAGAGATATGATGCTGTGGGTTGAAGATCTTTTGTTAGGACTGGAGAAAACTGCGGGAACATACAGGCTATAGGTAAAGGCACAAGATTCCTCTCTCCCTCTCACACACACACACAGACCTCATACCTACCCCTCAGTGTTACTATGGCAACTAGGGTTGCCAAGTCCATCTTCCGCCCCCAGCGGGGGACTTTGGGGGTGTTCCTGGAGGGGGCGCGGCATCCCGACGTGATGACGTCACTCACGTTGGGGATGTCCGCCGCCCTGCCCGCGTGCTCGATCTCCAGAAAGGCCAGTTCCCTGCACTTAAAGGAGCCGGCGTTTCCCTTTTAAGTGCACAGGGCTGGCGTTTCCCCTTTAAGCGCAAAGAGCCGGCATTTTCCTTTTAAGTGCACAGAGCTGGCATTTCCCTGCAAGCCTGATCTCAAGCGGAGATCGGGCTTGGGAGGAAACATCCATGCACTTAAAGGTAGCCACCCCTCTCTCTCAAGAGAGAAGGGAGAGGGGTGGCGGTGGGTATTGGGGGTGGGTAGAACCCCCCCCCAAATGGGGGACCCCTGGCAAACTGGGGGGGGGGTTGGTAACCCTAATGGCAACACAGATATATGGTGCCCTATCTTAACCTAGGATGGCATAGAGATACTCCAAGGTGCTCCGAGAAAGTTACAGCTCTACTCCCATGCACTCCAACAACACACACACACACACCCTCAGGAATATAACATGACAAGCACGGGTGAAAGGAAACAGAACTAACAGGAATCGAAAGTTAGACTGAGTTTGACAATGAGACCCCAACCGTAGTGCATTCTGATTTTACCCCTTTCCAGTGCTGTCTCGGCCCCCAAGTCCACCTCTTCCTCTACGGCTTCGATTTACAGAAACCAAGGCTTGAAAGCTTCAGCAACATTTTTGTGGTTGCCTAGCAACAACCAAAATGGTGCTGAGAGCTCACTGGACATTCTTTTCTTATTTTTACTTATTATTTATTATTTCGATTTATATCGCACCCTTCCCACAAGCGGGCTCGGGGCGGCTCACAACAATAAATTTAATACAATCTTAAAATAAGTCAACCAGACAGTAAATAACAATATTAAATTAATACAATAAAACCAATTTAAAACATTTGGGCAGTGCAGTATATTCCGTTTCAGTTCCTACAGCTGGGAAATGCGTGGGCCAACGCTCAGCCATAGGTACAGGCATTGTTTCTATTATCCCGGGGGGGGGGAGTATACAATGGTCCCTCTAACTGGAGGGAGGGGTGTCTGTTGTGGGGAGGGGAAAGGAAAGGAGATTGCAAGCCGCTCTGAGACACCTTTGGGTAGTGAAGGGCGGGGTATAAATCCAATCTCTTCTATTCTTCACACCCTAAGCAGAATATAATTGCTGTAGGCTTCTGACGGGCCTCCCCATGCGGGAGCACATTCAGCCTGTGCTGAAGACATTGCACTGGCTGCCAATAGCATACCGCATTCGTTTCAAGGTGTTGGTTCTCACCTTTAAAGCCCTATATGGCCAAGGTCTGACATATCTGAGGGACCGCCTTTCCCCATATATGCCCCAGAGAGCACTACGGTTGGGGTCTCAAAATCGACTGGCCCTCCTGGGTCTCAAGGACACCAGGCTGGTGACTACCAGGGCCAGGGCTTTCTCAGTGGCGGCTCCACTCTGGTGGAATGAGCTCCCAAAAGAGATCAAGGCCCTGCAGGATCTTTTACAATTCCGCAGGGCCTGCAAGACAGAGCTCTTCCACCAGGCCTTTAACTAAGGAGCCACCACCACCATCACCATCAACAGTCCCAATTATAGAGCCCTGGCCCTTGGCTCTGACATCCACAGCCTGTGCCGCCACTCATATCAGGAAGATCCTTGAGCAGAACATGTCGTTCATACAGTACACCATCGCTAAGTAATTAATTAATCATCGCTAACACCATATGATATTGAATTGTTTTACAACTGAACTGTTTTTAGATGATTTTATGTGGACCTTAATTGTTATTTGCGTGTTTTTTTGTGTAAGCTGCCCTGAGCCTGCATCGGTGGGGAGGACGGGGTATTAAATAAATAAATAAATAAATAAATAAATAAATAAATAAAAATAGGCAACGGGCAGTGCAAGACCCTGTGCTGCCCTGCATTGCTGCTGAGTGGGGCTTCCTGTGTTCATAAGCGGCCGCTCACCCACACAGGTTAGAACAGAGGTTCCCAAACTTATTTGGCCTACTGCCCCCTTTTCAGAAAAAAAAATTACTCAGCATCCCCTCTGGAAATCTACCTTCAAGAAGTGGACAAAAAGGGTGGCCGGAAAAAAGCCCACATGGGAAAATACCATGTAAAGTGCCATAGATACTTATAATGGTGGATAACCATTCATCTCCACTTATGAGAATGAACAGGTATTACCTATCTTATATATATATAATTCTGTTGACGTATTGGCCATTTCTATCTCTCCCACTGGCTGTGCAGTGAGTCCACCACGATCCACGTGTAGAGTCCACCGTGATCCACGCAGCCAGGCAGGTCAAGGCAGGCACAGAGCAGCAGCAGCTGAAGGCCTGAAGCCAGAGGCCAGCAGCAGCCACCACCCAATAGCCCAGCAGCAACACCAGCCTTACAAGGGTGCCCATGCATTTGCAATTTACAAATGCATGGCTGTGATTGGCCGTGGGGACCCCTCTCCACCTCCCCTTCCCTCCCTAATCCCAGGGAAGACCAGGAGAAGGCAGGAAAAGGCTGCTTCATATAGGTTCTGGACTCTTCTTTCTTTATGCGTCCACCCCCCCCCTTATTTTTATTCAACGTCCCCTCCCCAATTGCACCCAAGGCTCCTACCGCCCATCTGGATCGTTCCAGCGCCCCCCAGGGGGCGGTATTGCCCACTTTGGGAACCACTGGGGGTTAATCCCCCAATGTTTTGTTTTCAGATTTCAGGTTTTTCTGCAAACCTGGGATTTCCTTCAGGTCTGTAGAGAAATCCCCCCACCTGTCCTAGCTCCATTTTGCTGATCTATTGATCCACACCCTATAGCTTGGTTTGGAATTAGATACCTGGTATTTCAAGTGCTAAATGACATGGATTAAACAAATAATTATAACATCATGCTCACAAGAATCATGAAGGATACCATGCAATGAACATTCAGTAAACTCATCCAGTCCTAGCAGTCATCAGCATAACAGGCGGCAGCATATCCCATTAGTTCACGTCATGTTGTTTAAAGCAGTACTGCTTCTTCCTGTCTTGCAGGAATTAGGTAAAGGTGTGCCTTGGTGTTTAGTCATGCCGGCCACATGACCATGGAAACGTCTTTGGACAGCGCTGGCTCTTCGGCTTTGAAACGGAGATGAGCACTGCAACCCTAGAGTCGGACTCGACTGGCTTTCGAGCAAGGGAGACCTTTACCTTTAAAGGTTTCCCTTGCTCGAAAGCCAGTCGAATCCGACTTTTGGGATGTGGTGCTCATCTGTTTCCAAGCCCAAGAGCCAGCGCTGTCCAAAGACATTTCCGTGGTCATGTGGCCGGCATGACTAGATGCCGAGGTGCACAGAACACTGTTACCTTCCCACCGAAGTGGTTCCTATTTCTTGCTTTTGAACGGCTAGGTTCATGCCTTCACCTGAAACCTCTCCCTCCCGGGGCAGGACTGCACCAGACTCGCCAAGCCTCCCCTCCCCAGGGAGAGACTCATGAGACTGACAGCCCCCCCCCCAGCCCAGTAGAGTACCGCCCACC